AAAAAAAAAAAAAAAGACTTGGTTGCAGCCACACAGTACCTCCATGATCAGCTGGGATGAGAAAGAAAATCTACAAAGCATTTCACAGTTTAATTGGAGTCCAGTGCATTTTACTGGATCTAGATGCTTTTTAGTTTTGACGGGTAGACTGTTAACATTAGGCTTTAAGTCCTACTTCGCTCCTTAAAAGCTGAAAAGAGTATTGCAAGTAAATCAAGATTTTACTCTCTCACATGAAATGAAAACATAAAAATCCTATTTTTGCCCATTTAATCTTGATTGCTTGTTTGTTTTCCAAAAACAAGATTTGTTTTCTTTGCATTGATGACGGAAGGGAGTGTGGCTGGGGAAACGCCAGCCCGAACCCGGACGTGTTTGCAGAGCAGGCCCTGAGCAGGGCTCCCGCCCGCGCGCCCAGAGCTGCCGCTGAAATGGCGGCTGTTCCGCCGCCCATAAGTGCACACGTAGATCCTTTGGCAGGACTTCCAAAGCTCATCCATCCTCACTCTTTAAAGTCTCTTATCACTGGCAAGTTAACTATCCAGCAAAGGAAAACTTCTGACTCGCCCTAAGTAGAATTTTCAGTTAAATATAATTCTTCAAAATATGCTGAGGAAACTCCACTTTTCCATGTGATCATGCACATTTTAATATTCATGAGAAACTGAGAGAACATACTTCATTCATTCAGTAGTTCTTGAGAGCCTATCATGTGTCAGACACTGGAAACACAGTCACAACTCAAGCTATGGTAGGCTCATGGTGCTTCCAGCCTAGCAGGAGAAGCAAGAATTTTTTTTTTTTTTAAATATATCTTTATTAATTTCAGAGAGAGGAAGGGAGAGGGAGAGGGAGAGAGAGAAACATCAATGATGAGAGCGTCATTGATCGGCTGCAGCCCGCAACCTGGGCCTGTGCCCTGACCGGGAATCGAACCCCGATCGCCTGGATCCTAGGTCGACGCTCAACCGCTGAGCCACGCCCGGCTGGGCAAGAAGCAAGTATTTTAAAATGATGTTCACACATCAACAAATTACAATTAGGACATGTAGGACCAATGAGAAGCACAGGGTACAGTAACAGAATCCCACTGCTGTAGAATAAAGTCCCCCCGCTGAAAACAGCAGGCACAGTCCTTTCCAGCCTGGCCTCAGTTAATTCATCCTCCCTGTGCTATAACCATTCTGACCAGCTTTCTCACCGTGGTGACATCTGCCGGGCTCCCTCGCCTCTTTGGCTTTGCTTATGTGGCAGAAGTTTTTCCTGGATCTCCATTTATCAAAGCTCTTCTCACCCCCTGGGGCCACAGACAAACTACCACCTATAGGAAACCTGCTTGGAAACCCAGTTTGGCTCTGGTCTCTATTTTCCCATACGTCTCCGCTTGTGCCTCTGTTTGTAGCCCTTCCTTTAGTTTTTCAACAAATATTTATCGAGCAGGATCCTCATTATTAGCACATTCGCCACCGGGTGCTGATTTCATGCCACTGTGTGTTGTAGTTGCATAGTTGAGCACAATCGCCTCTCCCTCAAAAACTGCGCATTGTAAGCTCGTGATTCATCTCTGTATCTCCCATTAGTGCTTGGAACATAGTAGCTGTACAATAAATGTCTGTTGTATTGAACTGGATTTTCCTCATACAGATTACGCTACGACAGGGAGACTTTTATAGAAATTACTTTCCGTCTAAAAGATCATACCTCCTTAGATGTGTATAGACTCTATTTTTGAAAGATGATATCTGCAAACAGTGTACCTTACAATAGATCTCATTTAAAGTTTCAACTGCATGAGAAATGGAATACAATTTTTAAAAAATATTTAACGACCACAGTCAATTCTCTCTGAAGGAACTACGTAGACTACCTCATGACTTTTCAATTTATCACCTGCTGGCTAAATATACTTGATTTTCCCATGGTATGCTTTCCCTATTCTTTTTATAATGTTTACCTCACCATCATCATTCTTTATTTTCTTCCAGAAGTGATTTAAGAATTTTTTTTTTTTCTTAAGGTGATAGACCCCTGGGGAACATATATGTGCAGTGAAAACATCAATCATGTTAACTGCAAACAAATGCATAATCAATTAGGTTGACCATTCACTTGTCTAACCTGGTCTCAAAGCTCGCTTGAAAAATGACTGATTATGCTACAGTTCGGTTATTTCAGTCACATAAATCAGTTCTGAATTTTCAAGTGCAGTTAGAGGGATTTTTTTTTTCATCGTTTCTTCTCCAAACAATTTTGACTATCTTACTTTCCTGGAGTTTGCATTTTAAGCAGATTTTTCTGCTCCACAGATTTGGATTTGTCCTTAAATCCAAGTGGGGAAGTGACCAAGCAGATTGGCGATGCCCTGCCGGTGTCGTGCACAATATCTGCTAGTAGGAACGCAACCGTGGTGTGGATGAAAGTAAGTAACGTTCCTTGGTAATATTCTGCTGTTTGAACTGATTCCTTCTTAGGCTTCTTTTCTGTTTTATGAGATATCCAAATATGTATATTCAGGAGCAATGTGTTTATACACCCACGCTCATATCCTCTTTATCTATAATAATACAAGTCATGTCACAATAAAATTTTAGAGGAGCTCAACAATAGTATAGCACCTGTAACTGATGCTCTGAAACTTAGTTTGGGGGCGTTAATTTAATTATGTGCATATACTAAGTAATTATACAGATATACACATGCTCAGAGACACACACATATACATCTCTATTCTTTAGAGCTTAACGATTTATGGTGTGTTGTAACCCACATTATTCTCACATGACAGTTACAGCAACCCTGTGAAATATGCAGGACATTTATTATTTCCTCACATTATTTATAAAGAGGTTGAGATGAAGGAAATCAGAGAGCACATAAGTGACAGAGTAGACTCAAGCTCAGGCCTTGCTGAGAGTAACTACTGTGTTGAAACTAATCTTAAGTGTCTGAATGTGGGTTCTACTGAACTCGTTGCTCTTTGGAGGTACATATCTCTCTTTACCCTTGAGCCATAGTAGAACATCTGGAACTTCTTAGGAGTTTAGTCAGCACTTCTTGAGTAAGTGCTTATATTTTCTTGTAATTGTCGGATATGTAGGACATTACCTGGACCCAATTATTGCTATATTTTTAGAGTGAGAAAGTAGGATTGGTAATTTGTGATTTGAGACAGGGTTCTTACCAAAGGCAATGGTTGTAACTCTGATCCCTTCACTCAAATCCTTGTCTAATAAATCTAAGGACCCAGTGCATTTATCCCCAGAACATGGAACAGTAGCATTTAACAGTAGCATTTAACCAGTAATGTGTGGATAAAACACATACCAACCATTTGAAATAGGGGTTGACAAGTATTATCTTTATAAACAATTGTGGAGAAATGTATTACTAGTTTCTTCTTGATGAAAATATAAATTATTCTGTATTGCTCTTTGATGTCTGTTAATGCCAGGTCCTGTTACTTGTTCTCTGACTCTCACTTTCTTATCGCACTTTGTTTTAACCATACCCTTATCACAACTTCTTGCTCACTCAGATATTAAAGTGTTACTCTATAGACTACATGTTTAGCATAAAATATTTATAGTAGTTGATGGCCTAAGGGCTAAACAAGTTCTAGGCAACTAGAACACCCAGTAGCATTATGAACACTCACAGTCTGTGTTACTGCAGGACTAGAGAAGCTAGTTTACTTGGCTAAATCAACTTCTGTATCAATTGCAGCCACTTGTTAGTGGAATACCAAATATGAGTGGTGCTGATCAATATTGTCTGGCCATTGATTGGTTGATGGTAGAGGGGGGAAAAAATCATAATGGACAAAGGCCACATAATCTTAGGATTCTGCTTAGGTGTCTGCTTATGAGCATTTCAATTCCTGATAAATAGCATCATTTTCCGTATATCGAGTGATTTTTTAAAAAATTAAATGTTGCATTTTATTTTTTCATGGAAATTAGGATAGTAAGCTGTTATTAAGGGTCTCTTCAAAAAGCATTTTGTCCTAATTACCCTGGGCCTGTAATGGATCCCCTATTGTGATAATTGTATCCTATAAAATGACTTTCAGGCACCACCTATACTCATCATTGATTATGTAGCACAAGTCTTCAGGGTTTGTCATTCCTGGTTATCTACATTTACCACAAGGAGTAATTACTATGAATCTAAAGCTTTCCTTAGTGTAAGCACATTATATTGTTTATATCAAGTCCTCACAACACTTCAAAATGGTTATTACCCCATTTTACAAATAAGGAAACTGAGTCTCAAAAGTTTATGAACTTGCTCCAAATTATAAATTTAGTAAGAAGAAGAATCTGAAATAATGTCCAATCCTACAGAACTACAAAGGAAAAAGGAAATCTATTTTCAAAGGCGTCTGAAGTAAAGAAAAATAAGTTTGCATTTTCATTAGACCCAGAAGAATCATTTTAGGCTTAATAATTTATCTAGTAAACATATTGAGAATTGTTATTGTGCCCTGTGAAGTAATTAACTTTTTATTTAATCAGGATAACACCAGGCTTAAATCTAGCCCATCATTTTCTAGTCTCCACTATCAGGATGCGGGAAACTATGTCTGCGAAACTGCCTTGCAGGAGGTGGAAGGACTAAAGAAAAGAGAGTCCTTGACTCTCATTGTAGAAGGTAATAAGAGACTTGAACACCCATTCAGATTTTCCTTTGAGAATTTGCTCTCTGATTACTTTTATGACCTTAGTTTAACATCTTATTTTAATTTTCATAATACTTTAGGAAAACCTCAAATCAAAATGACAAAGAAAACCGATCCCAGTGGACTGTCTAAAACAATCATCTGCCATGTGGAAGGGTTTCCGAAGCCTGCTATACAGTGGACAATAACCGGTAGCGGGAGTGTCATAAACCAAGCAAGTATTTGTCTTCTTGTTCTGTGCTGCGCGGTTTTATCTCGACCTACACCATGGGCTAGCTTGTTACCAATGTGAAGTCTGCAGTGTGTTCTCAGAGGAAGCTTTTGCTAAATTTTTAATTTTCCCAAAGGCAGAACATGGTTCAAAGAGAGACTTTTAAACCCCAGGGCCATGGAGAATGAAAGAGTCATGATGCTGTGGCCAGTATCTGTTTTCAAAAGAACGTAAAGTGAGTGTTGTTCTATGGTCATTAATCCCTGAAACGTGGTGATTAAAACATTAAGGTATGCACTTTTCTGCATCATAAACTTACACATCTGAGTGTAAGTGGCCTCCATTACTTTTCTTACACACATTAAGGGCTATTTCTTCTTAAAACTGGGCCCTGGAGTGTGGTGAAGGACACATTCAGTGTTTCTGAACATACGGCCTGGTCTGTGTGCACCAGGGCCAGGGCCAGAGTAAAGCTAGTTAAATATATAGTGTCTAGGATGCTTCCTTCTGAACCAAAGGAAACATAAACCAAGCAGTAATATTTGTACCTTTGTCAGGACATTTTAGTAATAGTAAAGGGCTAAGAGCTTATGAACACTACCAGTAACTTTCTTTTCACTTTGACAAAAAAAAGAATGAGAATCTGGCCTGTCACTAGGGGTTCAGAGCTGTAATCCCACTGAATTGCCAGCCTGCTCAGTTATCGAGATTCTTGCTAATTCCAGTTTCTCCACGACAAGTCTTCACGTCCCCCTTCTCCGTGGAGCCAGTGAAAGGCTCTTCAGCAACACCCAGAGGTGCCGTTCGATGATCTGAGTCTCCCGTGCTGCCTCCTTCCAGCTTTGGCCCAGCTGCCGTCTGGAAGGCATGCATCGAGCAGACTTGCAATTGAGTTTTCAGTTAAAATTTCTACTCTTTCCCTGTCCAGGGAAGTTGGGCCACTGGTCCACATTGTATAATGCGGTTTTGCGGAGCAAGGTGAATTTTGACTCTTTTACCTATGAGTGATGCATATATATTTGCATAACTCCAAGTATGGAAGGTCCCCAAAGCAAGTGACTACTGATTTGGTTAGGCGATGGAGACACACAAGAAACCATGCAGGAGCAGGACAGAGAGGCTCTGGAAGGAAATGTAGGTGTCCTGACTCAGGAGAAAGACGTGAACCTCTTGTACAATGTAGAGGTTAATTTTTTAGCATCAAAAATGACTTTTTTTTTCTTTTTCCCCCCTTTCTTGCTCAATTAAGTAATAATTAAGCCAAAAAAAACCTATAGGTATGGTCATATAAGCATAGAGAATAGAAATATAAGCACACAATAAACATTTGATGACTGAAAGATACAAATATTTAAAAGGCCATCGTAGAAATGAGCAAATATGTTTTGTAGAGATAAAAATAACAAGAAGAAAGAGTCAGTGAGAAAGTCACATGAAAAATACTGGTGGGAAGTAGTAAAATAGCAGGTGAACTTACTATGAGGATAAAAATAATAATGCCATTCTTCATTGTCAAGGAGAAGAATTGATTCTGGCCCACTAGGTGATATGTTATTTTTCTTGTTCTAGGTTTGTGCTGATACACATAATCTTTTATTTGTACCCTCCACAAACACATGGTGAATCTATTATTTTGCAACGCCTGAAAACCCTGCCCCACCCTGACCCAGGGACTAGACAATATCCCTAAGCATAAATCTAACTCTTGTTCTCAAGGTCCTTACATTGCAGTCTAAGAGAAAGTAAGTGGGGACCAATACATGGCGTGTATAAATAGGGTGATTGAGGAAAGAGCACAAGTACACACTTGCTTTAGTCGTGTTGGACTTAGGAGTCTAGTCCTAGGGAAGAAATTAAAGTGAATTGTCTCGTGTTTGGATGAATTAAATGCAGTGATTGTCCTCATCAACACTTCACAACAACCAAATGAATTTACCAGTAACTAAAAAGAATCCATCCACTGCATTTAGCTCAGGAAAGCTGAGGGGGGAAAAGGTTAGATTTCCCATGAGTAAAATCCTGTATAAATATGTACTAGATATAATGGTCTGAGAGAAAGGAATTAACCCCTGTAGTGAAGAGCAATGTGATAATTTACAAACAAGAGCTAAATTCATTAGTATATTAAGGGAGAATTGATAATCATTAATTAATTATTTTGAGACAAGTACTAATCATGCCAAAATATTAGCTAACCTGAGCATCTGTTGGAAAAGATGAGCCTAATGAATTTAATTATTAGAATTTACAATCAAAACATAAACAGGGATCCAATTATGGATTTACTACATTTTTTTCATCTCTGATGTAAACTTGAAGTGGTCTATGTCTGTGACCTTACATATACCCTTGAACACCAGATAGCACTACAGAGCACCACACCTATCCTGTTTCACTCAGGATCACTCTTTCCCATGTTTTTAATCTAGTTCCATTTCTATATCCATATTTCTCTTTTCTTTTCCAGACAGAGGAATCTCCTTATATCAATGGCAGGTATTATAGTAAAATTATCATTTCCCCTGAAGAGAATGTTACATTAACTTGCACAGCAGAAAACCAGCTGGAGAGAACAGTAAACTCCCTGAATGTCTCTGCTAGTGAGTATTTCATTTCTGGCATTAAAAAAGTAAGAAAATTCTTCATTAGTTTAAAATCTTCAGTTCCATCTTCCTATACTGCATTATGGTAAGTTTTATTTATTTTGCATTTGTTGTCATCATCACAGGTTCTTTTTTTTATTTCAGGTGTCTGTTCTGTACAGTCCTTGTCTTGACAGCCAAATCATTTCATGTTTTATGGGTCAAAGACCTTAACTTACACAGGAATATTTCCCAAGAGCAACAGATGATATAAACAGAGTTGCTATTATTTAATCTATGTTTTGTGTTCAGAATACAGATAATTCAAAGATTTTTTAACAGCATTTCTGTAACAGTTTTAATTTTGGTAAAATTTTAATTATCTTTAACCTGTTATTTTGCATTCTAGTTCTTTGTGGTATTTATTTGTACAAGAATGCCACATGCTTAAAGTCATTCAGCAAAATGGTAGTAAAACTGGTGTCTGAATAACGAATCTATTTTTCATGATTGATGCTTTTGAATATCATATTTGAATCATAGTTAAAAATCAGATGAGATTATCTCAAAAAAAGTGAAAAAAAAAATCTATCAATAGTGAAATCAGGGTAACACATACATATCAAAGGCAGCTTCTTCTGAAAACAGTTGTCCTTTATTTGAAATTTTCCATCATCTTCAGTTCTGTCATTGTCCCTATTACCATGTCAACCTGAAATCAGGACTGGCCTAGAACGAGGCTCAGCTCTGGATCCTCCAAACTTTTATTCCTCCCGTCATTTGGAATCCTGTGTGTGACATTAGCAGGACAGGCATATCCTCGCGAGGACTTAGCTGGAGCCAGGAGAAAAAAATTATCTAGAGATAATAGTTCTTAGCCGATTATGACTGGAATATAAAAGCCTGCCGAACTGACAAGAAAAGAATCAAACAAATTTGACTCTAAAATAGGAGCATTGACTTCTCAAAATTTAATTCAGAGAGTATTGATTTGTCCTACCTAGAAAGAGAACTTCTCCTTCCTTCCTGAACACGGGTCTCTCTTTTTATTTTAACCCATTGAAGGGTGGTTTCCTAGACTAAGCAGTGGCTTGATCAGCATTTAATACAATAGATTTTCAATTCAGTGAGCACCTCCCAAGATCCCAGTTTTTATGAGGAAGGGTCTGGGAATCTGCAGTTTAACCAATATCACTGGAAGCCCCGATTCAGGCCCATGCACAGAGGAATATTTATGTCGTTTGATATTAGCTGATAATCCATCACAACGGGGATTCTTAAACTGAGCCAGGCAGGCGGCACTGTCACAGTTACTTGAAGGCTTTTGCAAACATCACATACGGTGCCTCTTCACCTCCAAGACATCCCGGGTGTTAACCTCTAGCCCCACCACTTTGAGGAGGTCTCTAGTGGTAAGTCCATGACACTAAAGAGGAAAATTAATTATCCTCTATTGAGGCAGGGAAAATTCAGATGTGGTAATTTCTTTCTCTTTACAAAAAAAAAAAAAAAAAAAAA